GCGGGTATACAAATCGCCTCTCTTCTTTTGTCCTTCATCGGTTTTCTCTCTCTTTTTTTAACAGCATTTCTCGCCAGCTTCGATATTTTCGAATTAGCCTGGCAATGATTTTTCACGGTGAGACAAAGCGTTCCTCGGTCGGCGGTCCACATTTTAATCAATATACGCGTTTCTGGAGCGCGTATCGCGAGAGCATCCCCTATTGTACCCCCTCGGCTTTGGGTCTCGATAAAAATTAATATTAGGACCCGTGTTTCTTCGCACAGAAAATATGCCGCGCACCCTTTGTGTAATAGAAGGGATTGTTCCTATATTGGCTCTCGGGTATCAATGCTGGATCGACCGGTCTTTAATATCGTCACTCATTGATGGTCGCTGAGGAATTATTCGAATCGGTTCTTTGATGTTGATTTAATCGATTTTTCACGTGCACAAAGAGATCACGCAATATTACACGCTATATTTCATAGTTTGTATATAAGTCTTGAAATATATCTGCGTATAAATGTATTATGCAAAAGCGTTGCTTCTTTGTAAATACGTAAAGAGTAAAAAAGTTGATAAGGAAAAAGAAAGAACTAGCAAGTAAAAAAGATAATTGCTTTTTATTCATGTGAGCATTATAACACATTTTCATTTAGTTAAATCCTAGTAGAAAGTATTTTCCTAAAAAGACAGATCTCGATTTGATAAAACCAACGTCTTTTCATCGATAGAATGTTTCTTCTTATTGTTCGTGAAAAGCGCAATCGCGATTTCGATTAATCTCCGAACCGGTTGTAAGGGCCGACGCGAGATTGTCTTCCCTTGTAAGAGCGATGTGGAAGGGACTCGATATTCCAACCTCGTCGCTCAGGTTTCCCGACGCGGAATTATTCCGAGGGGTAGCGGCGCGAATTAAGGCTTCTTGCGGCATAAAAAATCTGTGTAATCAATTATCGAACCTTTTACCCCATATTTCACGGCCAATGAGTCGCCACTCCCGCCGGCGCCTTTAAGCGAGACTTACCGACCCTCTCCCTCGACACTTTTTAGCTGCGATCCTTGGTCCTTCCTTCTCGCGGCCTCACCCTTATCTTCTCCTTCGTTGGCTCTTCGGAAAGGAGAGGGATAGCCCAGTCTTTGTTTGAGATATCAAATATTTATTTTCTTAAATAACGCAAAAACTCGGTAAGGGGCGGATCGCCAGCATTTTTTGCCTTAATAAATTATCAGCGATTATTGGCCGCGTTTGCTTAAGCAAGGCGATTTCTTTTCTTTTTCTGCAAAAGATTTCGTGCTTTCTTTCTTGTGATTAAGTCAGTCGAAATTGATTTAACTGTCCGAGATAAATCTTTTGATTATTATACGTGGCGTATATTGAGTGTGTTTCAAGTCACTTGTAAAAATTTTCAAATCCATGACATCTCACTTACTAATTATTCATGAGGCACAGTTGTATGTTGCTTGTCTTCTCGAGAAAGCCTCATCGAAGTGCAAAAGAGTACATGTTACATAAAGGGTAGCAGCGAGAAAGCTCTTTGATACAGCATTGATGTATTGTTAATATAAGCGAGTAAAACTCAAAGGATATACGTCTTGAGTAACGAGTTCTTGTTCGCGCATACATGAACACGCACATTCCAGACGCGCGATAGTAAAATAAATAACACAAAGAAATTTGAATATAAAATAGAACAACATTCCTAAATAATTTCTATATTGCTACTTTTAATTAAATTGATATTAAAGATTATAATATCAAATTTCTCTTTCTCTCTCTCTCTTAATTAGTATTATAATTTTAATTATTATAATAGTTTAGCAAGTTTTATATACACAGAAATGTTTGTTATGCAGATCAGTTTAAATTTGAGAGCATGTTCATATACTTCAAGCATACTTGATTAGAATTAATCCACCGTCATAATTGATCATAAAAATTCCGTGCTTTCGTCTTTTGCTTTTGTTTTGTGCTAACTTGATCTCCTAGGCGAATCTTTTAAAGGTTTTTCGTTCACAGCGATGCAAAATGAACACGAAAACAAACGTTATGACCTCAACTGAGGAGGAGAGAAGGAACAGCGGTGCGCGCGTATAACACATATACGCGCATACGCGTGCGGTCTGGGGAAACAAGCTGCAAAGTGCCAGATGAAAACTATGGAAAAACTCGGCGCTGCGTATATAGAATGCCTTGCGTTTTGCCGCGAGCGGATTTTCCGGCGGGAGGGTTGAAGAGGTGGTCCGCGGGGAAGGATAGCAACCGGGTCGCCCGCGAGAGACGACAACGTAGACGACGTCGACGGCGACGAGGACGATAGAGGGGCTAAAAAGCACTTCTAATGACATTGTGCGCGTTCAAACAAACACACGGAATGCTTAGTAGTTTCTAAAATTGTGGAGAAGTCTCTGCCCTAGCTTGCTCGCTTTTCTTCATTTTCCTCTTCCTCTTTCTGTTTTCCGGTTAGATGTACATGTATGCGAAGAATAGTTTATATAATTATAGAATACAATACTTTCAAAATTTAATGTTATTAATATATGTAAATATTTAATACTTTAGAATATAATATATGTATATCTTTCTCAAAAAAATATTTGGAAAATTTGGGAAATTTTTAAAATCTCTTTCTAAAGAATATTAAATAATTTTTTTTTTATTTATTCTAATTTTTCTTGTGATTAAAAAGTTATCGATAAGTTCAAAAATCATATATATCGTTTGCATCTCGTCCTTTGCATCGACTATTGTACACAAAGCACCGTCATATATAGACTTTTCATTAATGCCTGAATGAATAAATGCCACCGTGCCCCTCCTCTGAATTCTTAATGCAGCAAGCTCGCTGAAAGTACTCCCGGGCCTTCAAAATATCTTTAAGAAGTTTAAAGGCGTCCCTCGATAGCATGTAAATATTGTATGTAAAGCGCGACATCAAAGAGATTCTTCTACGGTATAATGCCTTAAATTTCGACACAAGGAGAGATTAAGCAACAACGTAAGGAGATAAACAATCTTAAAATGTCTATCATAAAAATTTGTGCGATGGATTAATTCTCTATTAAGAAAATCCTATCTATGTGATTAAAAGCATATACTTATTGCCATTCTAAAAAAAAAGAAAACATTAAATAATATACAAAAATATATACTATAAAAACTTAATATATGTTTGCAACAAAATATTATATATTACTTAAAAAAAAAAAAATTAAAATGAGAGACACAGAAATTATACAAATATGCTCTTGTTATATTTAAAATAAATTCAAAATCTAATTATATCATTCACAATAATTATTTTTATAAATTCCCTATATCTTCCAAAAATCGAACAAATTGCTCGCATGTTTTTCGAGAAGCGTTTTCTAAGATTATGTACAATTAATCACCATGCATAATCTTTTCTATATAATTATCTGAAAATAATAATTCAAATAATACTTTAAATGTATCACAGTATAGGAAAGATTTCTAGAAAGAGAACGGCGAAAAGAGAATATCGTTCGTCTAGCAAGAACCGAGTTCGACGCTCGCCAAAGAGACCGCAGAATCTGTACTGGCCTCTCTACGAGGACGTTCCTGGAAACTTTGTTACATTTTTGGTCAAGTCCGCATACGCGATACGCGTTGGACGAGTAAGTGGATCAAAGGGATACAGGAGAATTCCGAGATGACAGAAAAGAGAGAGAGAGAGAGAGATACACTGGAAATTGGCGGACTATCCTATTGCTCTATCTTTGAGTGCTTCGTCGAGCTTTCTTTCGATGCCACGGCGGAAAAACCTTTCCAAAGTTCTTCAAGATACCATGAACAAAGAGAATATGGAGCAAGTGTGTAGACGAAAAAGATAGAGTGAAAAAGTAGATCGAAATCGCGGTAAAGCGAAATATTTAGCGTCAAAGCCGTGGATTGTGCATGATAAACACGACGATGACGTATATTTATTTCTTATGGGAAAAATGAATTGTGCGCTACATCTAGTAAAGAAAGAAGAAAACAGAAAATAAGAGAGAGAGGAGAAAAAGGGAGAGAGAGAGAGAGAGAGAGAGAGACAAAAAGAGAAAGCAAGTGGTTCCAAAATGTGTCACTCATGCTAAAATCACGTTAAAAACGAAGATTGCTTCGTTGGCAAATTAAGAACGATATTTTAACGCTCGACTTAATTGCATGAAATTACAAGAGACTGAAAAAGAAAGTGAACGACGAAGAGAACTTTGAAAAAAATGTATGACTTAATGTGATATATGAATAAAACTAAAACGAACGAGAAGTGACGACGGTTTCTGAAATAGCTCTTCAATTTCATCATTGGCTATGAGCAACTACACCCAAAAAATATGTACTTTATAAATATTTCAAGCTACTTAGAACATATGAAAAAAAAACAAACATGTATAATATAAATGCTTTGGTAAAATTGATAATATATATAAAAAAAGATAAAAGCGCATTTTTCCTTTATGATGTAAGTTGAAACAGTTTCATATATTTGGAAGAAATCTGAGAGAGATATCTTTAACATAATCTTCTATAAAAAATTTTATCTATAATTTTAATCTATACTTTTATATAATATAAAGAAAAGTTGACGTATATGTTTACAACATTATTCAATGTTGATGATAGTAATAATATTATATGTTATGTAACATAATTAACTAAATTATATATACGAAGTAATAATAGTAATATTTCACAAAATATTAAATACAACAATAATAGTAACATATCATAAATAACAAATTAAATCTGTATATATATCTTGTTCATGATGAATATTAACCGTATACTTTAATTACAAAAGCATACTTAGTGCATTCATTTAATTTATAATCATTTGCAATAGATCCAGAAAATTGCAAATATATCAGACATATATAGAAATATATATATATATATAAATTATATACTAAAGAATTACAGTATATAATAGATTTGCAATAATTATACGAAAAGTCGTACTATAAATAAGTTTAACAAGACTATGTCTTTTTGTAAAATACATTGTACTTTACTCAATATAATATTCGTCTTGTGAAAATTTTTCTTTTATCGGAAGATATAATAAGAAATTGAGGTAGCGCGCGTGAACAGATAATAGATACACATCTATGTATATATTTTACCTAACAAATATCAAATGGTAAATTCTCTAAGTTTTGCGAATTACATCATTAGTTTTGCAAACTAAACTTTCATCCGAAGTTAAATTCTGAGTTTTATGAACTTCCTTCTCAGCGGAAACTGAATTCTCAATTTTGCAAATTATATTCTCAGCGGGGATTAAACTCTCAGTCTTACAAACAACTGTATTTGCCGAAGTGTTCGATGTTTCGCGATGCATCCATTGGTGATTTTCCAGCGTGAGAATACTTCTGAAATACTTGCCGCATTTTATGCAGTAAAGATTACACTTCTCGTGACTCTTCCGATGCTTGTTGAGCAGATCCTTGCGCGTGAAGGTCTTGTTGCAGATCGTACAGGCAAACTTGTCGGGATTCACATGCAGCACGTTATGCCTCGTCAAGTTGTCCAACCTCGTGTACTTCTTGGTACAAATGTCACAGGTGAACTTAGTCCTTTCAGAGTGACATCTCTGATGATACTTCAGATATCTCTTCTCGGCGAAAGTCTTTTTACAGGCGCAGCAGACGATCTGGTTGTTATCGTTCTTTTTCACGTCCATATGATTTGTCAATTCCTCATATGTCGCGAATTCTTCCTTGCAGAAAAGACAGACAAACTTCTTCGGCTGCTTGTTCCTCTGTATATTTTTCAAAAAGTCTGGATCGGTCATGATCTTGTAGAGGAAAGAATCTTTCAATTTATCTTCTGGCTCGGCGGAGGTACTTGATGCAATATCATCAGCGCGATTGGAAGCATCCTTTGTTGACAGATTCATGACCTCCACGTTATTGTTGTCATCGTTAGTGAGCGAAATATCGGTGGATGAAGGCAAAGTCATTTCATTACTTAAACTAGTGGATGTCATAATTGGAATCAGAATATTTGAAGATGGAACATATGCCTGTTAAATACAATATTTATCTTAAGATTTAAAAAATTAAATAAACATGTAATATTAAACAAAATTATATTTCATAATTTCATAATTAGGTGCATACGAAATATGCATATAAAATTTTTTATATGATTTAATCACAGAGATATATTTTTCTAATAATTATATATATTAAAACAGATACCTTATAGTCCATCTTTATTTAATAATTTATACATTATTTATACATTTTATTGTGTATTTTAAATAAATTCCTAATTATGCAAAATATGACGAAAAGACTCGCAAAAATTATAAAACATATATTGATAATTTACCTGATATGACTCCTGGCCATCTATTGCATCCGTTGAATCATAATTTTTTTCAGCATCCGTACTTTCTTCATCTGAAGGACTTTCTGTTGCAGATGCAATCTTAATACTATTATGGAGTATTCTGTGTCTTGGAACTGTTTTAATTCTCATATTTGTACTATAACAATCGCAAATAATAAAAATAATTTAATATCAATCTAAATTGATAATTATGCAATAAACTAGTAAATAGTAAATTTTAAGTTCTATGAGATTGTATAATCAAATTATATTGCTAATGGAACATGTTATTAATATTAGCTTATAGTAATATTGGTAATCTTATAATCAAATGACCATTTATAACAACAATAAATATGAAATGGATTTAAATAAACTTAATAAATAAAGTTAGAAATTTGAGATTATTTCAAATTTGGAAATATACACAATAATTTATGAGGAAGATTAACAGTAACTTATACATACTTATATTAAGAAGATGATCAATGATTAGCTTCTCGTTATTTCAATTGAAAATGCAAGCACGTAATACTTTTGGTATTCTTTCACTGATTCATATAATCTTTGCAGCGTGCGATACATACTATACGAAATACCGATCACGACTGACAAGATTATCGCACTTAACTTCGAATTATCCGTCGCTCAATTGACCTCAGTGCGACTTTGATGATCGACACGACAACAAGAGCCTTAGCGGAGTCGCGGGAATGAGTTTGCAAACATAGGTATAACTTCATATTCATGGAAATAGGTTATCACGGAGGCTACTTTCTTCATAATGTTGTGCTTTATTTCGTACGAACACGGGAGAGAGAATGTATTTACGTCCAAATATATTTAACGATATTTTAGAAAATTTTGGCTATATCTTTGAAATGAAAAATTCTAATAACAATAATGCATATAAATATTACGTAAAGATTTGATATAAAAAGCATATTATAATAATTTATTTAATGACTTTTTACTATAATTATATAGGTATATAACCATGTATAGATACCTAGAAAAAAACATTAGTGAAAATATTTGCTTTGCAAAGAAAGAGAAAGAATAGCACTTATATCGACGCGATGTTAAAAAAAAGAAATCGAGATACAGAGCGATGAAATAAAAGAGCGGAGATAAAAAAGGAAATGCGAAGGGGTCAAACATAAAATTGGCAAAAAAAAATTTTTGCTGTTCAGTACGATGTATCTATAGTCATTCTTGTACAGCCCCGGTCGTTAATACGACATAAGGAGGAGCCAGGGTTAAAGCGCGAGGGTGAAACGAGGATTTTTAATTGTAGTTCGTCCGATGTAACCCCGCTCGACCCGTCGGTATTGTCATACCCGGGCGGCGCTTTTCTTTATTTCCCCAGTGGCTGGATGAGGTTATACATTTTTTTAAACTACGGCAATGCCTCCGTCTTCTTATTAGCAAAGCTAATTGGAAATACAAATGGTTATTCACGGTAAGAAAGAGAAGGTTGTGCCGAAGAGTGACTGCGGGATAGCGCCAGGAGTTTGTAGATATATCTAAAGAGAGAGAGAGAGAGAGAGAAAACGAGAGAGAAAGAAAGAGCGGCCGGGGCAAAAGGGGAGGTGGTGGTACACTTCTGCGTATTAAGGTTGTATTTGCTCCGGATAATTAGGACTTTTTCCCGGCCAATTCGGATGAATAATTGATTTTGCTGCTCCCTGTGCTGCCTGTCTGTCGCTCTTGGAACTCTTCGAATGACAATCATCCGGAGAAAAATACGGATCTCTGCGATGAAATATTCAATATCTTGCACAGTATTATATGCGTCGAGAAGAACGCAGGGTGAGAAAATGTCTTCGAATAACATGCAATAGCAATAATAACTATAGTTTGACTCTGTGTTTTGAAGATCGTTAAATAATAAATAAAAATATTTCTTTTATAGAAAATTGTGGAAATTTATAAAAAAATAGTAAATGTTTCGTTAAAAAAAGTCAATTTATAAATTAATTAAAAAAAATGTATAAAAAATAAAAGGCTTGCTAAAATAAAAAATAACATCGTTCAAAAAAAATATGTATTGTAGGTGCAATATTAAATTTAATAAATATCAAATTTTTCCCAACAGAGATATTCTTATATCCTGACTTGACAGATCGTGATAAGAAAAGAGCGTTCTACGAACGATGAGTCAACGAATATTTTTCACTCTTCTTCAGTCATATTTAACGAAAGGTTTTCCGCAATTTTGTTAGCAACGTGAAAGCCGTCGAACGTCTTTCACGAGACATTTTGACACCCAGTACATCACGCTCATTCCCTTCATCTAGTTATATTACGTATACAATATCTGTGTATCGAAGCTAGTTGATCCTGGTAGGTCCCCTTCCTCGACGCGAGGCCATACATCATACCACCTTCTTTATTAAACTCATATTTTTCAAAAAGTCTCACCTTCGCTATCTGGAGCGCCTCCTCTCGCTCGCAACTCGGAAATCAACCCGGGGAGAACAAAAAATTCATTTGGCATTCGAGCATAAGATGGATATGAAAATTTTTATGCTAAAAATGATTTACGTCTGCCTCACCGATATGAGTCAACTAGTTTATAATCATAAATGATAATAAGTAAATATATATAATCTCTCTTTATTTAATGAAAATTTCTACAATAAGCATGTTAATAAGCGTTTGATATAATTGTATGAATAGATGAAAGTCAAACATTGTAAAATTTGCAGAAGACACATCATTCGCCTCTCTTATCAACTGAAGTTGACAAATTTTCAACAAATTAAATTTTTCACGATAGGATGGAAGAAATATTATATACACGAGAATTGACGAGAGGAAGGCGAAGGTTCTTTAACGACTGGCGTTTTCATGAGATACATCGCGCGACGAGTTCGTTGTCTCTTCGTAGCGCCAAAAAGTTAGGCCACTTTCCTTCGACGGGCGAAGGAGAGATTGGCCGTTTGGCGGGCATAAAGAAGAAAGCCACCCCCTTCAGTTTGCCTTCCAACGCACCCTTCGCCACCTCCGCCGGTCGCCCCTCACGACCCAAAAAACCGCGGACGGTTATAAAGCATTCTTCCAGTTTATTAGACGGAGACTCGCAGGCTTCTCCTTATATTAAGCATGTGCATTATTAATGCGGTGGTATAACCGTAAAATGCTGATGAAAAAAAGTTGCCGAGCCCCGCGGGTGTTTCTTTTGCGGCAAGGTGAAAGAAGGAACGGAAGCTCCTCCGAGATTGCTGCCGCAGCTTGACTGACTGACTCTTCGACTCATCGGATATTATATTGCGTGAAATTTGAACTTACAGACGCTTTTCATCGAAAGAGTTATTTGCGAGATAACGTGAAATTTTGGAGTAACAACTTATTAATCTCGTGAATAATAATTGAAATTCTTATGTAAATATACGAAAAGCACACAAATAGATGAAAAGAAAAATTTGACGTATTAATAATATCTTCAATTTGTGATCGATCAAAGATAGCATCGTGTTTGTAGACGACAATCGATTAGAATTTTTTGCTAGACCGTTCCAATGCGATAAGACAGCGCAGCAATCTGGCACAGCACAGGAGTTACACGCATCAGGGATTTCCATGGAAATCGATGACACCCTCGACGATGTAACTTCGGACGAGAGAGAATCGTCGAATAGAATGCCCGTAACTTATCCAGATAAGGGGTTGTAAAACGATGCTGTAGCTATCTGCCAATACGGTCTGCTCACCCTTCTCGCGGGAAGGGAGTGCCTGCATCCAGGTTGCGGGTAGATATAGGGAGCAATTTCGCAGAAATTGATGCCATTTGAATATCGTCTGCGCCACGACACGCTCTTCCAAGATGGTGCCGTTCGTAAAGACGTTTACACGATTGTCGGAGATCTCTATCCGGTCCATGCGCGCTACGTCGACAAATACTGTTGAAACACATTGGTATTATGTATATGTTTCGTGGATCGTATTTCTATTGCGGGCTAGGCGTGCGGTACTTCACAAGGAGATGGAACGACTAACGTAAACCGGCGTCTGTTACTCGACATTTGTTTCTCCGTCGATCGCATTAACTCGTGAAGAGATTAAAGAGAGGATTAAAATGAGTAGCGAATTTTTTTACGATCAACATTATTTGTTATTTATATAAATTTTATCAATTATTTAATTATTCACGATATAAATGTTGTAAATGATCATGTTTTATATAATCTTATCTTATATCATAATTATTCAGAAAAAAATCTATTTTATATATCTGTTTACATACTCTCCATACTTGGCGGAATATATATCAAGAACGAATATCTATAGCAAGCAAAATGTGAATCTCTTACGAATCCCTATCTCGTGCACAATGAACGATAAAATTATTCCAAGTTTCATTGAACGTACTATTACGTCATATCATTCGCGGAAATACTTCCGGATGACTTTAATCAGGGCGCACCTTTACCCCTGGTGTGTGATTATACTTGGTGACTTCCAGATACGTGCCAGGGTTACGTCACGTGGGTGTTACCAAAGTCTTGTTTATCAAGTGCGCCGCTACACATAGTCGAAGTATATATATACACTCTTCTCGGTGCCCGTCAATGGCGCTTCTTAGCTTATGCATAAAGCCCCTTTCGCCCATCACCCTCACGCCCCGCCGGTCCCGTCTATCCGTATCCACCTCCCGCAACCTCCTCATCTTTCACGATTTCATCCCTGCCGTTTCAACCCCTTCTTCGACCGGTAGTAGCAGATCGGAGTGTCTCGCTCGCTCGTTCGCTCTCGCGAGTATTTCCGCCAGAATGTATCGCAAAATCTATACCGGCCTAAGGGGTGCGACGGGAGAAAGGGGGGGAGGGCGAGAGTAGCAGGAGTGGGCGACGGTGGCGGAGGCCAGGGTGGTTTTCGAGAAGGGTGAGCCCCGTCACATTTCACTACAGACTAATAACTTCTGAATATTCATTTCGTGTTTCTCCTTGCCTGCTTGCGAACCCGTAAGCAAGGCTAATGCGACTTTCACAACAGAATGCTTGATGTTTCCGGAGATACATCGGACAAGAACAATCGAAATTTGATGATTTTAACCGATTCGCTTATTACACATAAAGTACATCGTGATAGTGTAAATTGATTGATGAGTGATTCTTAATTTGTACGGATTGTTTGAGGAAATAATCGGCGCGTTTCGTGTGAGATGAGTTTAAGGGGTATGTACTCTCCTTCGTCGAAGCGAGAAAAACAGAGTAGCTTGGAGGCGAGGGAAAAGCGAGAGACGGTCGTCATGGCAACTATGAATTAAGTAATCAATGAATTATTATTGACATTGATGTCTTCGCTCTGCTCCTCCCACCCCCCTGCTACTTGCGATACTTCAAGACTCATAAAGCAGGTTGCCCTGCGTTTCTGATTAATACACCGGTAGTATATCTCAGTGGATTTCAGGATAAAGAGACGAAAAGTCTGAAACGAGAACGAAACGAAGCGGGTATAGCTCGCTAGATGGAAAATGATATCCGTGGTGGGTTTCTTGTGTAAACATAATTTTTCTGCTCTCTGTACATTCAATATAGGAAGCGTAAATGAATAGTTATATTCATGGTTTTTATGCGATTAATAATTAATTAAAAATTCTTCACATTTAGAAATATTATTAATCCTCGCGCTTAATAGATCCTTATCGCTTTTA